CGCGGGAGGGCGAACACAGGGGGGGCCCCGCCGGGAGCAGGATCTCGGGTGATTTGTGTGTTTCTCAGTTTCCCTTTTCCCACCGATTGCTGGAAAAGGTGATTTTTCTCCCAGCGCTCGGTGATAGCACTCGAACAAACCTCTTCAGATTCAGGAGATTTTAAGAAAAAAACTGGCTTGTGTCATTGTAGAAATAATGTGATTAATGCTTCTGAGAGACAGTGGAGCAGCTGTGTGCTCTGTGAAGTTAGCTGGACGGGATCGCTCTCCACCGTGAGCATCCGCAGAGCTGGCAGGCTCGGCCCTGCGCTCTGCTCGTGGTACCAGATAAAACCTGTGTGGTTGTACAGCTGTCCATTGCTGAGCATGGTTTGGAAACAAGCCACGAGAGATGCAGAGCAGAGTCTCTGCCTTGAGGAGGAGGTGAAGTGGAAACGGAGCCGTCAGGCTCCTGAAGACAAAATCTCCCCACGTTATCCAAGATAGTCTGTGCTAAAAGAGGGTCACGGAAAAGGTGCTGTCTCGCTCACTGCTTGGGCCTGGAGGCTGCTGAGAGCAGCTTCCCAGCTGAGAGGCTCCTTCTGAAGCAGAGCTGGGCAGTGAAGTTCAGAGCTGATCTGTCTGCTGATGGATTTCTCCACCAGTCAGGTTGTCCATCTTAAAGCTGTCTGCACAGCGAGACCCCCTCACCTTCCCTGTTGAACTCTGGCTGTTATGCTTACAGAAGCATTTTTAATCCAGCAGAGCTGGCCTGAGGTAGGGGCTCCATTTACTATGTTGGAGAACCCTTTTTATTTCGATTCCATGATCGCACTCATTGTGTAATCCTTTCATCCTGGCTTTCAGAGATTATGCCTAATCATCTGAGCTAACGGCGAGGGAAGAGCTAGGGCTCCTGAGAGCAGGAGCGTTCTGGTAACACACGTGTTACGCAGTATGCGGAGGAGCGCAAACTGCAGGATTTTGCTGCCTCTCAGCTGCTGCTGCATCTGCATGGAGCTACTCGGGGGTCTGCACGCTCTGCTCCTTCCTATGTGAGTCTCCAAAAGGCTTTATTAGGTGTGGAACAACATGTTCTGCAGCGTATGTCTCAATTAATGCATCTGTCACCAACGAGTACAAGGAAGCAATTTTGGGGCAGATCCAGCAAAGCTGTTTTGACAGAACTGGCACCAAACCTGTGTTGGTTTGGTACAACCAACACAACTGAAGTTGCCTGTAGGCAGTCACTGTGCATCACGTCTTGTGCTCTGGGAAGGTGCAGCCTGTTCTGCCCAGGACTGGCTTTGGGTTGCACAGCTTAGTGCTTCAAGATCCCCAGGGCAAAAAGCAGCAAAATTTCTGCCAGAGCCAGCCTGGAAACGGAGGAACCACATGCACACGCTGCTGCATCTAAGTTAAAGAACCCTTCCAGAGCCAGGTTGTCTTTGCTGATTTCCAGCTCCTGTAGTTTCAGTCCAGCCCTGAAAAGTGTTAGAATTGGTATTAAAATTAAGGTTGTCTGATAATTTTCACACTTTTTTGTGTGTGTTACTACATGGTGTGGTAATTTTCCCAGCGGGCAGCAGCCTCCCGTTACTAACTTTTCCTTTTTGTCGTCCTCACTTGGCTCCACTTAATAGATATCATTTGAACTCTTGCCTGCAGGAAAATTTGTCAGATTCAAACGGATGTTTCTACTCTGCTTTCCCATTAGTGACAGAAAAGTTAATTTATTTTTTATAGAATCCCTTTTACAGAATGAGAAATGAGGCAGAGATGGAGGAAGGCTATTACTGTAAAGGGTCTGCCTTTTGCAGGTACTTGGGCTAGGTCTTGACCCTGCAGTCATGTGCAGTGTGCATTTTGGTGATTACACATGTGTTTATCAATGCTCAGCATCCATGCACATCTGGCCTCCTGTGTCTCTCTTCGGGCACTACGAAAATAAAAATCTTTAGTTGATTGTTTTTGTGGAAACTGGTTTAAGTGACAATTCAGAAAGATCTAGGGATTTCCACTGCAGTCATTCTCTGAATTTATCCAGCTGTCTGCAATGGTATCTTGCTTTCTGTCCTAAAAGTTCCTTCACTTGGTTATGTCTTCCAGCTTCTGCCTTAAGTAAAGCCAAGCTTAGGAAAAATAGTCTTCTCTATATACTGCTATGTTCCACTTGCAACATAGAGGTCTCCTGAGTGTTCAAGAATGTAGCAGTTTCAGGGGAAGAAGAGCACCTGATCATATCATTAAATGCAAAATCATCATCTGTAGGAGGGAGGAGGTTGTACAGGCAGAGTTATTTCTGGCTTTTCCTAATACTTACAGCTTTGGAACTTTTGCTACCTGACTATTTTTTTTTCAGCGCAAGCCTCATGCAGCATGATCAAATTTTTAAGAAGAAAAAGCAGAAGAGGCCATGTCCTTCAGACAGTATCTTACTTCCGTCAGAAGTCTACAGCCTATTTCACTTAAACTTTTAAATGTTTCACAAATTGCAGTGAAAATCACAAATCAATCCAAGCCAGATATCTAAGATAAATTTCCGTCCAATTTGTTAAAGTTTGGCCAAATTAAAAGTCACTGCAGGCAGATCTTCACGTTTTAAGTAACGTCGACTATCAGCTTCCCTGGCAGTATTAAGTGAGAGTCTTGGGTGTTTCAGGCAGGCCAGGGAAGCTGAGAGAAGCGCAGGGGCGGTGGCTGCGCAGCACCGGCAGCGCCTCGAGCCTGCTGCTGCGGGAGCAGGAGTGGCTGGGAGCTTTCCAGACGAGAACTTGATCGTGGAGGATAATCCCTGAGTAAAGCCCTGCCAAGGCACTCTCTCAATCTACTTTCTAACATGCATGGCTCTAGAGAGCAGAAGCTGAGCGATTGCTGTCTGCTGGCCTTGCGGCTCGGGCTTGGGAATGCACCTTCAGGATAAGGGCATTCCCGTTAAGAAGCTCCTAGTGCCTCGTAAACCTGAAGTCATTCCCAGGAAGCCGGTGCTAAGTGCCTTATCATCAGATAACTGCATGAAAGCTAGCAAAGGTAGTTTTTGTTTTTCTTTTCAAGATATGTAGAAACGTGAGGATGTGGAAGAACTAAACAGCAGTGCAAGAATAAATGCTAATACATTTTAGTAGTTGTTCTTTAGGCCTGGTTGTGGGAACATGTGTAAATAACGTGACGTGTAAGTCAGTATCTTAGAAAACCTGACTGTGCTTGCAGAAGGATACACCCTATAAGTACAGTTTGTGTAGAGAAGCATATAAAGCTTTAAACTTGATATAGGTTACTTGTTACCATTAAAACTTTGACATCATCTCTTCAGTGACCCATAGCTACTTGGAGCATGAAAGGATCTTTGTATTTCGGAGCCCGAGCACTCTACATAAACTTTTTGCTTATGCCCTTTTCTGTAGTATTTGTGAATGTGCTAGTAATCGCATAAACGTAGTTCTGTGATCAACTTCTTTTTCTTTTTCTCCCTCAGAATTTTTTGCCAGCCTTTGGGAAAGAGACGTTGCGGACAACAGCAGTCACTCCACAGTTTGGACGAAACATGGATCATGGGGACTTCATTCACTTAAACATTTTAGAAAAGAAAGTTCATAACAACTCCGAGGTTTCAGTTCAGTATTTGTGTTCTCAGCCTTGCATTGTCAACCTGGAAGCAATAGCTTCCTCGGAGTTCAGGACTGGTGTGTCTGTATATAGAAGGAGATGGAAGGACGAGAAGAGCCTTTATGTTAGTAGAACGCGACAAGTCCGTTTGAAATTTCCAAGCATCATGGTTTACAGAGATGATTATATCATCAGGAACTCAATAATAGTGCACAGCGTGATACTCTACGCATGGATTAGTCATGCGTCGGGAAGCAGCTACGATGTCAAGCAGAATGAAAGCTACCAGCGGGCAGTCGCCAGGAATTACACTTTTTTAGAAACAGTCCCACCTTTTAAACGTCCCTATAAAGACCACAAAGTTTGTCTTCAGTGGGGTGCTGACTATCTGTGGACACTCCAAGCAAACAAGATACCTCAGTGCCCCCATGAAAGCGGTATGTGCAGTGTCACTTTATTCTTCTCCAAGAGAACTAATGGTACCCAAATAACATCTTTAAGCTGCTAAAAAGGGCATACCTGCAGTAAATATAATGTCAAATGACTTCCTTCGGTGGCAGAAATTCTAATTTCTCTTCAACTTCATACAAATCACAAGGAAAAAGAACCAGCATCTAGTGAACAAGAAATACATCATTTACAATTTGCTTACACAAAACATTAATTTTAGCACTTCTATAAAAATTTTTTTTTGTATCTTACTGGTTAGCAGGAGAAATACTTTATTTACTGCCATATTTCTATGTTTAAGTATTTTTACATATAAATATAAAGTCTATCTTCTATATCATTCAACCACAGAAATTACTGAAACCCACAATTCTGCTTTCCAGGTTTTCCCAGAGTTCTGCTGATTTTTTTTCTATCTGCTTGTCTCTAGGTTTACATCTGCTGATAACCCTTTTTCTTCTCACTATCTATTCAAAGCCAAACCTAGAAGCAAAACATTTTTTTTTCTAACATTTATCTCCTAGGAAATCCATTGAAGGTATTTATGTCAGTTGGTTTCAATACATTGGTATGTAAATACAGTGAGGACAAACAGGGAACCAAGGAAATTATTTCCTTCAGAGGCTTTCCAAAATATCTACTGGAGCCATATAATAAGAATGCTGTGAACACTGTGAAAAATTATCATATACATCATTTAAATACATTATGGATAAAACATACAATATAACAGTAAGTAGGAGGCAATAACATTTTATTTGAGTTCTTTTTAAAAATATCTCATATCCATTTGCTTATTCTTTTTAGGAAAGCTGATGATATGTCATGGCCTTGGAGATGTTTTTCCTGTTCCTCTAAGTATTTTAGATTTGAATAATTCGGTCCCTACTTCTAAATAGCAGCTGGGAATGTGCTCCGTAACACTTTATTTTTTGTAGATTATTCCTATTAAGACTGTAATGCACTTAGAAACAGCGAGTGAACCTGTGCTAAAGGACTTTTCGATGTTTACATTAATTTTTAATCTATCGTGTGATTCATGTGTTTGACTGTACAAGCATGAGCTGTTAATGGGAGAGGCGCTTGTAAATATTTGTTTTCTGGCAGATTAAGAAAGGTTGCATTTTGCAGATGGTGTCCAGATTCTTAGCTTCATGTATGCATCCAGCGGGGAGAAAACAGGAATTGTGAAGAAATTTGAACGATTTGAAAACAGAGAACTTGAGACAGTCAGGCAACATCAGATTGATTATCCAATGTAAGTATACACAAATTACTGAGGCTGGTTGCAATTAACTATTAAAGGTTGTTGTCTGCACTTAGGCTGCACATCACCAATAGAAAGATTACTAATATGAGAAGTGGCTCAGAAAGAAACTATCTAGGGCTTGTTCTGCTCTCCTTCAGTTTTGGAAGGCGTTAAGCTCAGACTCAAAACAATGCTCGTCTTGGTGCAGAGCTGCACAAGGGAGAGCAGGGGTAGGTGTGACACAGCTGGGTAGTGCTGTTAGCAGGCTAAGTTGGTTTATTTGTGCTGTCGTGGTCAAACTGCTGCTGGCAATCACGTGGGCTCATGGCTCCCTAGCCTGAGGCCTTCTGCGCTGCAGAGAGCTCTGCATTTCAAACAACCTTTGCAAACTTACTGAGGAACGGGGTTTCCTGCAAGGGCAGGCAGCATGGAGCAGGTTTTCCCTTTAAATACAGTTTATTTATAAACTCTAGTTTATTTTGCAGCAGCAAGCCCTTAGTGGTAGGGTGCCGGCTTAGACAAGCTATCTAGCTTGAGCTTATACTGCATCCTTCTATCATTCCCAAGTAAACAGAGTAAAGCACCTAGCCCTGCACACCCTTCAGTGGTGGAGGAATTGTGCTGGCAGGATCACCTTTCTTCTCTCCCCCTTTCCCACACTGCCGTAACTTTCCGGTCACATTTTGCAACTTTAAAGGAGCAAATGGGCAAATTTCACCCTTCCGGCAGAGGCAGTTACCCCTGGCAATGTTATTAGAGGCAGGAAATGATCACAGGAACTCGTGCCTGCCTGATGGTTTGTGTTCAGCCTGTAGTGACAAGAAGAGAGCTGAAAAAGCTGTGCCAACTAGAACAGATTCCTTAGGAACTAATAGCATTGAGCTATGCACTGAAGTCATAAGTACAGAGCAATTTTTAGCTCCTGCCCCCTCGAGTGGCCGTCGGAGAGGTTACACACTGTGCTGCCTTTGGCACACTGGTGCAGTTGCGTTCTGCTTTTGGCATGGAGGTGCCGCAGGTTTGGATGGGAATAAATAGCATGAATTTATACGGCTTTTTCCATGCTCCTCCTGCTCTTGTCTTAAGGTTGTCTCTTAAGGCAGTCTTAGCATGGAGCGTTGCCAGTGCATGGTGGCTGTGGACGGCCTCAGATACCTTGTCGTGGAGCAGGGGAAGGAGAGCACAAACCTCCTCACAGGTTTTTCCGTCAGCTGTCCGGAGTGATTGGCGGCTGCCCATTGCACCAAAAGGCAGACAGAAGCAGATGCATCAAACCAATGTTACTTATTTGACTTCAGTTGGATATTTAGTTGACTAAAAAGATCCCTCTCAAGATTTTCAATACAGATTTTACTTTGTCAGTTAACGTGGCAGATGAGCTTAAATGTGATGAAAGTGGAGACAGATGGCTGCCATTTGAGGTAGGTGCCCGTGGACGCTCTGCAGCAGGGTTAGTGCAAGGTCTTTCACACTCTATACAGCCTTCTGCAGCATTGGAAAATGTAAAATGCGTCAGAATTGTCCCAAACTCATTGTCCACAGAAATATGTCCAGAACAGTCATGCACTCAGACTGGCAGTCAAGCATTAAATGGATACCACAGTGTTTAATCTTGTTGTATTGCCAAGGTGGAAGAGGGGAGGGGTGATATACAAACATAATGAGTATTTCTGTAAGCACAGTGTTTGCCTGTAGATTATAATGCTCTGTTTACAAGTGATCATGATTTACAAAGCCTTCTACCTCACCCACATGCTGCCTGCGAAGGATATGGTATTGTTAGCTATAGAAGGTGTAGACTATATTAGGGAAAAGTTCACCACGCTCACATTTTTCTTAAGTGGAAAACAGCTGTTAGGCTTTCAGACCTGCATTGTTTTCATTTAGGTAAAAACACACGGTTCTGTATGTTTTGTAACTTTTCTGAAGGGGAAACAAGGCAAGCTGACCCAACTCAAGCTCTTATAAACAAATTCTTTTCTTACTTGAAGGAGATGTCACTGGTATTTTGTATTCCCACTAAAAGTCAGTAAGAAAGATAACTTCTCTATCAGGAGATGATAGTAATTTTAATACTTTGGTTATAGCCCACTGGAGTTAGGATTTTCAAAAGCATTCAGTATTGTCCTAACTTTGCTGTTACAGAAGTAAGCACTCACATTCATGTTAATAGCACTAGAAGCAGTTCTAGGCTGGCACAGAGGAACTCCTTAAAATCAAGTACTGTGGTTTAAATTCTGCCTTTAGTGCGTCAGAAAATCTGTTTTGTAACATCTTCAAAGCTACTAAAATCACTCCAGCTTTGTATAGAATTTGCTCTATAGATAGCATTGGTTTGGTGTTTGGTTTGGTTAAAGCCAGTAAAATCACTCCAGCTTTGTACAGAATTTGCCCTATAGATAGCATTTGGTTTGGTTTTTATTCACCACAACTTAAGAGTTTGTACAGGCTCCACCTTTATGTATCCTTTAACTCTGCAGCAGCTGTTCATATCTCTACTACCCAGAGGCTGGTTTCATTTTAACTGCCTTTTCCGAGCACATTTCCACTTGTTGGCATTTAGTGGAGAAGTGATACCTTAGTTTTCACAGGTTTCCACCCTTGACATTACAAGAACATCCATTTGAGGATTTTGTCCTGGAGTCTGATTGCGTGAGGGTAACTCGCAGTTATCATAGTTGGTTTTTCAGTTCCCTGTTGATGTGGGATCTGGCCAGAGCTCCAGTCCACCATTCTGGCATTGATTCAGGTCACACTCCCTTCCTCTCCTCTTGGGGTGGTACCACAGAAGTGCACAGGTAAAAGGAGGTCACAGATCCCCAGATCTTAGGTACTTTTGTTCTGCAGATTTTTACTGTATAGGATGTGTCCTGAAGATTACATGTTGGTAAGAGGCTTGCTGAGTTAGTGGAATGGATGCTTTTCAAATTACAGAGCTTTTTAAAACCTAAAGGAGATCAGGAACAGACTGATTATTTCTCTTTCCTCACACAGGTTCACTGTTTCAATCTGGCTCTATTTAGTGCATTACTGTGAAATGGATTTGTGTGGGATACTCTATTTTATTGATCCGAAAGAAATGTATAGTACTCCTGCTGTATTTCTAAATGAGGAAGGTAAGTGATAGTGTAAAAGGCCTTCTGATGGGGACTAATGTAATCTGTATAGATCTATGTCTAAGAGCAACATTTAAAATGCATTATCAGACTCATCACTTGTAAAATGCTTCTTTTTGTCCAGTATGTCTGAAAAGGAAAGAAGCTACTATATTAATGGAGTACCACTGAAAAATGGTTGCATAAGCATGTAATCTTGGCTAATTTTTAGAAATGGGTAATCGCTTTTCTGTTTTGTTATTCAAGAGCAATCTGTGCCAGCAGGAGGGTGGACTGAATCTTGTAGGTCAGGAATATTCACTGGAATTGAGCAGTCTTATCTTGACAGTGTTCATGAATATTGTAATATTGTGCCTAGTTCTTAATTTCCTAAAGAAAATTTGGAATAGCCTCAGAGAAAGTCCAAAAAGTCCAAATTCTTTCCTATAGTGTGATGTTCAAGAAGCTGTCTAATTCCCTGATCCAAAAACAGGTTGAAAGGCAGTTGGTTATTTAACAAGACATTAAATTTTTTCCCCTTTCAAAAGTTTCACTACTAATCTGCTCCTTTCTGTTATTTTTACTGTTTCTGTTTTCTCTGTTTTGTTACTGGTCCAGATAATTAATAAAAACTAAATTCAGTTGGCCTAGGGCTGTGATACCTTTTCCTTTATTGGTATTGCTTCAATGAAAATACAGCATGTTTCCCTGTGGTTCTCTTTGAGTGGATCGATTGCTTGGCGAGTCCCCAGATCTACCCATTCTTAATGTCGGTGTTTCTGTGGACTTTTATTTCCTTTTTTTCTTCACCTTGTTGTTTCCTTCTCAGGTTATGTCCATATTCAGATGCACCTCGTTAGAGGAGATGATCTCGCAGTGAAAACCAGCTTCAGCCTTCCCCTGAGGCAGTGGTTTCGACTGGATCTCTCCTTTAAGGGCGGACAGGTATGTATGCTACTGGTCTGATGGAATAAGACTGAGATTTGTCTAACAACTCTGTATTGCAATTACTTTTGCCTTTTATTTATCCTTTTTTTTCTCTCTCAATTTCTTTCTCCTTGAAGATAATCGAGTTTATTTCCTTTTGCATCATAAAAATAATTCCTAATTAATCAGCAGAGCTGTAACAAATTGAAAGTTTGAGGTAGAAGACAGATAAAGCTGAAACAGAACAGTGTAGTCTGAACTACTGCCATTCCTTTTGTACCCCACCTATTATTTAAACAGGTAAATGGTGAAACAGAGCTAAAGTTCCATAGAGCAGACTTGTCTTGCAAGAAAATCAGGTAGATATGAACGAGAAAAAGAGCACATGGATTGATGCCCAGCTTGAGGTGCAAATGTAATTGCTGCTGTCAATGTTGACCTAAGGTATATTAGTGCCTTCTTGTTGGGAATTTGATGATTGTTTGTAAGACTAAATTAAAAAAAAATATATTCTTCAGTCAGAGGGTAGAATGAATTTATTCAGGTATGAGGAAAAACCTACAGTTAAATAATTTGCACTTGTGGATGAAATAAGGCAGCCACCAGGAGCTTAATCAACATTCGTGGAAAGAAGAGGAAGCAGAGCAAAACTAAAACATATTCTGATACCTAGAGCCATTCCCTGGGACAGAGGAGGCTGTGGTTCAGTTCCGTCTTATTGTCATCTCTTTCTGGAGCAAGTTATTAAATCCCCAAAAGGTACACAAATATCTCCTCATTTAGGCTCTTATTTCCCTGTCAGCCATTATATACATTTAGAGCAGCGTGTCCTTAGGCAAAGCGCATGAATTGGGGAAGGCTGAGAACTGAGGCATCAGGGAATGGAGAGTCAGACCTTATGAGCATTTAAAGATGCAGATGGATTCCCAAAAGTACCCAGGTACACCAAATAATTTTGCAGGATGCTTTTGAAAGCACCAACGTGTCTGAAAATCTGGTCTTAGTTTCTTTTTCAGGAATGCAAATATCTTCAACCATTCTGCGATTGGAAATCTACCTAATGCATCTCTCGTAGGAGTTCAACCCAGACGTTTTAAAGTTATGGTGCATTATTTTAACCTCAATGTTTCACCTACCGTTCTTTACTTGTAAGCTACTGCTTTTTGAGGAAGCTGATATAAGCAGAACTCTCTTTTGCACTTTGGAGCAGTGAAAGTTTCAGCAAAATAGTAATGTCTTGTACCTGAACACAGGAATTACGTAGCTGAAGTAGGCAACATCTGTGCTATTTTTGCTCTTTTCCTTTTCTCACTCTTGGCCAGAACAAACCAGTGCCAATGCTCAACACAGAAGAGAAGAGAAAATTCTGAGTTGTGTGTCTTAAACAACCTTATTTGTAATATTTAATCTACTATAATTATTATTTTATTCTTTTAGATAGAAGTAAGCAGTGTTGGGAAGAATTTGAAGAGACATCATCATCAGTCTTTCATGTAAGCAGAATTTTTCCCTTTGCCAAGTGTTATGTGTGTGTGTGTGTTCAGATGTGAAGGTTGTGATGGGGAGGATACACGTTTTTACCTGAGATTATAAATGGCTGTGAAAATGTCAGTGCTGTCTTTCTGCTCCTGCACACATTTCTGTGTTTATTTTGAGCTAGATCTGAACATTTCCGTTAATAATATGAGTTATTCGGTATTGCACAATCCAGTACCAGAGTCTGTCCCAATTCCCCACTAACACTGTGGTCAGGAGCATTGGGATCAGTCTTTGAATGAAATCCTGGCTGCACCAAAGTCAAGGGAAGTTTTGCTATCATGAAGGAGCATCATTTTACCACTGAAATTACCAGCTTTGGTAAGGTAGATTGCAAAATCTCCTTTGATTTTTGCTGGTATAATCCTCATACCTCTCTTGTCAAGAGGTTTTCATTTTGTTATTCTTGCTCTAACTTTCATTCTAAGCAAATGAATCATATGCCAATAAATAAATAAATAAAAAGCAGATCCTATATAATTCTCTTTAACTTAAGATTGTCTCTTGTATAAATAATTAGAAAAAGCTTTTCATAAATTGCGTGGCAGATTTCAGTGTTGTTCTTTCTCTTCCCCATTGTGGTTTACAGACTAGAAACTGTAAATATTCAGCTAGAACTTTCATGCTGTTTTTAGAGAGAAATGCAGAAGGAGGGGAAATTGAAATCTTTGAGGTTGTTTAATGAAGCTTAAAACTTCACCTGCAGTGTCAGCAAAAGAAAACACCCTGATGTTTTAATGTTTGTAATAAGGCATTTCTTAAATCTACTCCAGACCTTCCCGTATTAGATTGCAGGAGGACTGGGAGAGTGAACAGGTGGGGGAAAAAAAAAAGATGCTGGCAGTGGACTTAAGATTGTCAATGATGAAAGCTATGAAATATAAATTTATTTTTGTATCATAGTACCTCCTGACAGTTCGTTTGTTTCTCTCTTATGTTAAGTTTTAGGGAAGATTTCTATTATGATGACACTGCTGGCTATTTTGTTCTTGGAGGCAGTGGATATGCAAATGGTATTGAAGCATTCTTTGGTCCTGTGAAATACTATCGTCTGAACGTGCTGGAAACAGAACAGGTAAACAAAAGCAGTATTTGACAGTGCTTAAGTGTTACCAGCCAGCTCTGGTTTTCTTTTACTCAGGGAAATTTCACTGGGCTCTTAAGAGTATTCAATACAGACACAGGAGCTTCTTGTTTACTGAAGCTCTTAGCAAGTAATAAACTTGGTATCAAGCATAATAGAACTTGGGAATGTACAAGCCATGTATGAGCATTTTCCGCTGAAATCTAGGAAAGTTAGGTACTGCCTTAAATGCTGAAAGACAAGACTTCTCTAAGTGGATGTGAAAGCAGTGTTCCTGAATCTGCATGTAAATAAGGACTTACATTTCAGTAATGTTCAGTTTCTCAGAGTCTTTGCTGATGCAGTATTGAAGTTTAATTTGTGGTTTTATTGAAACCAGTAGCAAAAGCCCCATAGGCTTGACTGAGTTTGGAAATTCATCTGCTGTATCTTGGACTATGCTGGCTCTCTAAGGCCATGGTTTGTTGTGATCAGCATCAGATTATCTGGCACATGAACAAAATACATCTTTGTTGTGAGCAATCTCTTTCCTGAGAAATAGCAAGTTTGTCAGGAACAACAACAACAGAGTACTTGTCGTTTATCTGGTATTGTCTTTGTCTAGATTTTGAACCCTCTTTATGACAAAGAAGCAACGGAACAAATTGAGCTCTACTATGAGAGATGTATGGATGTTCAGGAAATAGTGTCTGAGTACAGAGACATTGTGAGTCAAGGGCAAGCTGTGCAAAAGGGCTGTAAGTATCTGTGAGATGTGTGTTTTAAACTGTCGTCTTTGCAGGCCTTTTTCCTTTTCTTCTACCAGAGGCTGGATAGTGATTATCAAAAGTAAACCTAAATTTGCCTATACACATAAAAATAAAATTTAAAAGAAAAGTAGTTTTAAGGGGCTTAATCTCACTACTGTTGGCCAGCAGTGTTTTTCTGTTCCTGCAAAAACTTTTGTGCCATAAAATATAAATTTAAATCATGTTCTTGGTATACCTCCTGTAGAAGGACAGGCACATAAAGGGAAAAAAAATATTTTCAAGCTTAAATATAAATCTGCTACATTTACTTTCCTCTGCCTAATTCCCAAATGACCAAAAAGCATATATATTTTAAGTCCTTCCCCACAACTGTACGTAGTTTGCTAGAGTCTCTCTTCTACAGTTGTCTGATGGAAAGTAATTGACAAGTTTATACTGAAGCAAATGCTTTATTTAATGAAGGAATTTAAGTGCGTGCTGAACATGAGTTTGTTTCCAATTAGATTTTGATTACTTTCACTGTGGGAAGATTATGGAATAGAATGTTCTTCTATGCGACCTGTGCTAGCTATATCAGTTTTTACACTGCGTTCTGTGAAAGATATGCCTAAGCTGTTTTGACCATGAATTTAAAAAAAAAATCCTAAAAACATTTTTTTTTCTACTAGAAGTTTGTTTTAAAGACCAATCATGCCAATTTTCAGGTCTTAAATACTTCATTTTTCTCTAGGTGTCTACGAAAACTATTATTCCGAGCTAATTCACAAATATGGAGAGAAGTCCAAATGTGAGGCCTTCATGTGGGGAAAAGAACTCAGGGAAAAATACCACAGTTTGTTCAAACTCTTGCAAGAAATGGATTTCAGCTCACAAGATGGTAATCATATTTTATCTTACTGTTCTGAAGTAACTTCACAATACATGTCATATGTGTTGGCATGCTTTGACTTTGGTTTGCAGACTTTTCATATCATTTAATTTAGCAAAGAAGTGTCATGTAGCTTACATGTTGCATTGTAAATGGGGATGACTTTAGAAGTAGAAGGCATAAATAGAGATATAATTATGCTTGTAGTGGTTAGTTACTTCGAGATAGCCCTCCTGATTCGATTCACTGTTCCTATTCAGTAATTCCTTGCATCTTGGAATTTCAGCAGCCTGCATTGAAAATGCTGTTCGGCTTGAGAAAGAATAGCAAAATCTGACTTGGTAAAGTTGAATTAAGCAGGGGAGATAAATTCCTGATTTAAATGCTTGCAATAACTGTGCATCCTATGTTGCATTTCTAGTATTAGAAGATGAAAATGATGCGGTTCTAGAAGTTGGCTGGCGGATATTTGAGAAGGCCGCAAAGCGTCTATCCAGCGCGGATGGCTTAAGCAATGCGGGCTCCTTTATCCCTCTCTTGCTGGATTCCAGTTGCTGTGGATACCACAAAGCTTCCTATTTCCTTGCAGTTATATTTGAAACAGGGCTAGGTGTGCCTGTGGATCGTACAAAGGTAGTATACTTGATACATTTGGTTATGTCTCTGGAATTAATTATTTCTTAAAGGCAGTTTATAAAAAGGGGTGAATTTAAACTCACTAAAATGAAAAAAAATTAAAAAGCGGAAATGGCTTTTCTTGCCTCATCTGATCATCAGATCCCTTTTCAGGCTGCAGCTGAAGGAACTTCCCAGTATGGGTGCTTCTAAATTGCCCAATGATACTGAAGTGTTTATGGCAGGAGTCTTTCTCCTGTTGATCCAGAACAAGCAAACAAATGGATTAGTGAGATCCAGAGAAGGTGGTGAAGTGAACAGCATGGAACATATGGCTTTTCCCAGTCCCCGAGAAGACGGGATGAGGGAGTGGCCCTCGAGTCACCCAAAGTTACTCACAGATGGGTCTCTCTTAAGGAGATTCTCCTAAAGTGAACAGGTTGCATGATACTGCTGTGAAAGAAGTCCCATGGCATATTGTGCAAAAATGTGTCACTGAGAACATGGTCAATTACTTAGAATTGCCCAAATAAGAGTGCTTAGGGAGTTACTGCATAGACCTGACAACTGGCCTTGTGAGTGCTGCCAGTCCATTGCAGTCCAAAATCTTATTGAGTCCTTAAATCACTGCTTTTAAAAAGATTAATTATGTTACTAAGTACGGTGACTTCTGAAGCCACCTGGATTGCTCGTAGCTGTCTCAGATAGGACAGGAAGCACCTTTGTGTTTTTGGAAAAAATGTTTTAGGAGAAAATTGACCCTGGTTCAGATGAAGAGCTACACAGCATGTGAACTTTAGAATTTTCAGGTAGATTGCAAAGAACAGAAATATTTGTATGTGTTGACCTGCAGTGTCAAAGAAAGGGGAAATGTCTTTGTCCCTGGAAGAGGGTGACTCTATGAGCAGGTGTGCTTGTATCAAAGAGTATGCACATAACGCAGTGATACAGAGGCATGAAAACTTGCTGCATGCTTGGTGGCAGCGTAAGGGCAATACCTGAAAAGTAATTAAGTAATTAGAGAGTTTAGTTTTTCTTACAAAGCTTTCTGTATGTATAGCAGGCTTGAGGGCTATGAAGAATTCTGCTTCTGTGTTTACATGTTATAGCTAGTACAGCACGTGTTAATAGGAGCACTCTTATCTTTGTATACAGCCTTTAAATTCCTGCCATAATGGTAAACTTGTTGAAAGAATTCACTGTTTTTTGTCTGCTGCTTCTTCCTAGGGACTGCTGTATAGTTTGGTTGGTGCTCAGGGGGATGAGAGGCTTTCAGTGATGAATCTTGGCTACAAACATTACCAAGGCATTAATAACTATCCCCTTGACCTGGAGCTCTCGTATGCTTATTACAGTAACATTGCGATAAAGACATCCTTGGATCAACACACAATAACGGGGGAACAGGTAAAAGAGTTTAAAGTGTACCTGAATTTCTCTGTGCAAATGACTTTTCATATGCTAATATTAATCATGTAGATGGAACATTTCCTTCTTCATGGTGATTTACACACATTAACTCATCCTTACAAAATCCCCCAAATTATGTGCAAGTATCATTAATTCACTTTATTGGAAGGGGCAATCCACATCAAAGCTAGGCTTAAATCTCCCCCACAGGCCTATCTTTCAGTAAAATCTAAGTCTTGTTTTTGAACCCTAATTCCTTGCCTACTTTCTTTTTAATTAATTTAAATGGACATGATTTTTGTCCAGTTTACTGTTTCAATAACAAAACTTCATGAAGTTTGAGTGAAAGGTGGGTTGTCCTCTCCCTATACAAGTTTTTTCTATAATCAAATATAGGAGATTTGGCTGTTTAATATCTATTTAAGGAGATAAAGTTGACAGCAAAATCTTTTCAGAACTAGCTGCTGAATATGAGACAACATGGCCTTGTCTTTAAAAATACTTAACAATGTAGGCCAGTACTAGAATGCAGGTCTATCGGGAAGAATTATTATTGATTATTGTAGTAGAAAAAAAAAAAAAGAGGATTTTAATTGAAAACTGACATAGAGTCACCTAGATTAGAATGCTGTGTCTTACAGCAGTGTTGATCCTGAGCCTTCCTCACCTCAGTTACAGGGCTGTAGCAGAGTCATGTTAGGAACTGGCTTTTCGCCGTGATTTTTCCCTCTGTACGTTCTGAAAAGCTGGCTCCGTTAGGTTCTCGATGCTTTCCTGTTGCTTGAGGGATTGTGGTGCTTTTGCAGTCTCTGTTGCCTACAGGAATTTTGTAAACTGTGAGTCTCCAAATATTCCGTGGGTTCAGTTCTCAAAGCTGTTTTCTCTTGAGAAATTTGCAAAGACTGTATGTGCAGTTAGTTATCCGTCTCTCCTTCTTCTCTGATATTTTTTCCTCTCTCATAAGTACAACTCCTTTCCTCTTTCAAAGTGTGACTCCAACTGCCCGTTTTTGGGGTGTCTATGATGTCTGAAGCCTGAAGTCACATTTTTTTTTTTTTAATGAGCTCCTCCAAATCCTGGTGATGAAAATGAGCATCTTGCCTTTATGTGTCTCCATATCATTCCTCCTTTTTATTTTCTCCCTTCTTTATCTTCTTTTTCTAAAGCAAATTGTACGTCTCAGGAAAAAATAACGCCTTGTGGTGCTTGAGAGAAAGAGTCCTAAATAAGTCAGATTCCTTTGCTGCCATAATTCTCATTCCTAGGAGCAGTTTGGCTGGTTATCCTGGGAGTCGCTGTGAGAAGGCAGAGTGACAGGAATGGGAGCCTTGTTTAGGAAGGCTCGTCTGTATGCCAGGCTGCTGCACAAGCTCTTGAAAGATAGAAGGGGACAATGTGAATGATCTGCCTGAAAACACAGCAAAAGGTTTTACACTGGGTGTAGTGCCCTGGTCATCAAAGGGACAGTGAGAATTTTAAAACCAAGAATAGAGCACAAGTGCTTTAAGGGTAAGGCAACATTTTCATTGGTTGGCAGGTGTATGAATTCATTGTGTCCTTCTGTTCACCTCCTTCTTAGGCATTTGTTGAAACTGTGAGGCTGATGGATGATGAACTGCTGAAAGCTCAAACAAAAGAAAATGGTGATGTCTTTATGTGGTTAAAACATGAAGCAACAAGAGGAAATGCAGCTGCACAGGTACAAAGCTAGACACTTCCCCTTTCTTCTTTTCACATGCACACTGTGTATGTACATCTGCAGAGCACTGGGGCAGACCTGCTTGCCCTTATCCTGCTCAGAATTAGATGTTGCCTGTGAGCTTAGTTCCCATGTTTCTGCCTCACAGTGTCCAGTGACCATGAAAACAGCCATAAGAATGATGCAAGGCAAAAAGGGAAGAGTGATCAAGACTCAGTATTGCAGCCACCCTCTCTGACCTCTGATGTGTGTTTGTCACTGTGCAGTTGCTTCTGCTGGTCTCAGACTGGCATCATATGTTGTAATACTGAGGCATTAGCTTGCATTTGCTGGTGCCTTTACCATTTTCTTCTGCACTTAAATGAAGGCAGACTTTCATAGTATTAACACCTGCAAAAGCCAAGCCTGCCGTAGGCCTATTGTGAATACACCGTTTTGTCAGTACACCAGTCATTTCACCACTGGAAACCCTCTCTGAAGTTTATTGATAGCCCATGCTTTTAAAAGTGTCTAGAAAATGAAACTTTCTTCACATATCTAAAATCCACTTAAGCCTGCAAAAATTTGCTCCTTGGGTTCCAGGCTCAATGCTGATATATCTCACATGGGTATTCACCCTGTTTTCTTTTAGCAACGATTGGCTCAGATGCTGTTTTGGGGCCAACAGGGCGTCGCAAAAAATCCTGAAGCAGCAATAGAATGGTATGAAAAGGGTGCAATAGAAACAGAAGATCCAGTCTTAATATATGATTATGCCATTGTGTTATTTAAGGTAAGTCATGTTTCATGTTTTCACTTCAAAATATCATTCCCTTGAGTAAAAAATATGTCGTTGCAGATAAATTGTAAATGTTTTGCATATATGAACATTCTTAATTTATCTGCAGTGACACATTGTGAGAACATGCAAAATGCTTTTAAATTAGTTCTGAAAATCGCTCAATAATTATGAATCTAATATTAATTTTGTCCAGATACGCAAGAAAAAAATTAAAAAATAAGAGTAAGTTTAAAACAATTAAGTCGTTTTATTCTTAGACAGATTCAGGATCAAAATCCAATGGAAATCCTGGACCCAATTTTTTCCTAGTTGCTTGGCAGCCCCAAAGATCTAACCTGCAAGTAGGCATAGGTGTAGGTGTAGAGATGCAGGTGGAAGTTAAATTTTCTCAGAATGTCCTTTCTTAGATATCTAAGCACACATTTTGTTTGAGTGGGAATTAACAGTCTCCCCGTGCAGCTGAGCCTTCTGAACTAGCAGCAGATTTCACAGGTTAACCTTGCAAAGTGTATCAGCTAAGCAGTGTGGCCCATAAGGCTACAGAGTAAAGATGTCAGTAAAGCCTTGTTAAATGTTCACCTTATTGCTTTACCAGTGGAGGGCTCTTCTATACAAAACACTTGCTCAAGTTTTGCTTCTTTTATTTTTGAGCATCCCTGGCAGTGAGGTGATTCTCCCTGGTCTGTCTGATTTGTGTCTGCAACCTTTTTATCTGAATGTCATCAGCATTACATCTATGTATGTCCTCTAGAGACACCTCAACAGCTTTTTCAGGAAAGCTGAGAGCTCTTATCCACTGACAACTCGTGAACAGTCTGTAAAGTTATTGGTACTAGTCATTCTTCCTTAACTACGGAAACTTAAAGAAATATCATGTTATTTACCCATAAAAATTGTATGTGTCAGTGAAATTGCTTTTTCAGAAAATGAAGCTAAATGATAAATGATCATTGAGCTTGTGTAAAGCCGTGAAGGAGTGATTGGTACAAAGCCACTTTTTTACTGTAACTCTTTAGAGCTGAGTAAATCCTAGTAAATATTTGGCTCAGTGTAAAGATGCGTTTTGAGTGATTATATGTGACTTTATATCAGCTTGTATTCTGTATTTATAAACTGTGGTTGTTTCACCTATCCATTTCCTAGGGTCAAGGTGTGAAAAAGAACATAAAACTTGCTTTAGAATTGATGAAGAAAGCAGCAGCCAAGGTAAAATATAAATAAATATTTGATCATAATCATTCTTTAGCTTTTGCCAGTTATAATGCACCCTGATACATATAAAATACATAGTATCATAGTTGTGTGCCAACAGTGAAGTCCCCTGTCTTCACTGGGACTGATAGGTCACTCCACCTAGAATTATGCCTTCTTACAGCTGACTCATCCAGGTGCATGCTGGTGATCAGCAGAAGACTGCACTCTGTCTCTCCCCTTACCCTCTGTACTTCAAGGGGAAGACACAGATGACCACAGAACCTTTTACTTTTTTTTCCAGGATTGGGGATAACACTGAGGGGCATAACAGAGGAAAGGAGGCTCGCTCCATTTAATAATTAAGTACAGTTTAATAAGCCAAGCCAGAGCTTGCCTTGTATAATACCATAACCATACCTAGGCCTCAGATAATCTAGATACCTAGACCTCCAGCTCTCAACCCAGAGCTAATTAAAATACTGACAATGTCCACAGGGCTTTGCTAATAACCCAATAGAAATTTGAATACAGAGAGGGACAAGAGTCTAAAGATGCTAGAGATGCATTTCAGGGTGGAACCATTCCCTAAGGAACAGCCTGACAGACTCTGAGGGAATCTCTTCGCTGTCCGTAGCCTGGAGGGTGTTTGCTCTCAGCATGAGACCTGAAGGAAGGAAAACAAAGAAGTCAGCAGGCTTTTGTATGCCAAATCCCCGATGAGTGGAATTTTGCCTGGAGAAGCCAAAACCCACAGTCCACCAGCAGGGTGGAACCTCAGGGCGACCCATAGCAGCACCACGTGTGTGACCCCAGGCTGCTCTTCTCTTTCCTCAAGGGCTTGCCCCAGGCAGTGAACGGATTGGGCTGGTACTACCACAATTTTAAAAGAGACTACAGAAATGCAGCTAAACACTGGTTAATGGCTGAAGAATTGGGAAATCCGGATGCATCGTACAACCTCGGTGTCCTTTATTTAGATGGGATTTTTCCTGGAAAGCCTGGTAGAAATCAAGTGAGTAAATATTTTAACAGTACATTTCTTTTTTGTACGGCAGGGCCAAATTTGCAAATTTTGACTTCATTTCTGAGGCTACTGTGTTCACTCTGTGTCAAATTTTGATACTTTTATCACAGAGATACTGGAAATTGCTTTGAGAGATGTTACTCAGATCTCTCAATCCTGCATAACTTTGTGTTCTTTAATTGAGGAACAAAGCAGGTGCAGATTGTAGCTACAGGAGCTACCTCTATTTTCCTGCTTCCATTAACACCAACCAGGGCCTTGGTCTTGGATTTAAAACCTTCTTAATGACTTTAATTTTGCCAGTGTGACTCAAACTGCTGCTCAGGTCAGCAGAAGTCCCAGTGGATTCTCTGGTACTTGATGAGGAAAAGACACTTCCCACAATAAATAGCAGAACAGAAACTTGTCCCTGAACAGTTAGAAAGTCATTAGACAGTTAAAAAGACAGTTATGCTACACTGATAAAGCTTGTGTGAACCTCGAGACAGTGTGAAATTTCTTCAAGCTAGGTTTGTAAAATTTAATTCTTTAATAAAAGATTGCAGTCTACCAAGATTTTATTTTTTCCTTTTGTGACGCAGCCTGTTTATTTAATTTTTAGTGTATTAGTGAAAAAAAAAAAGGATATTTTCCCTAAGAGGAAAAATTTACTTTGGTAAATGTAATAATGCAGCGTTGCTAATTGTGACCTGTTTCTTCACAGACAGTAGCTGCGCAGTATTTCTATAAAGCTGCCCAAGGGGGACATATAGAAGGGACTTTACGATGCTCTCAGTACTACATCACAGGAAATATGGAAGACTTCCCAAGAGATCCAGAAAAAGCTGTAATGTGAGGAATTAAACCATTTGTTAATAGAGAATACTTTTCTGGTTGGGTTACTTTGATTTTTTTTACTTTGTGACTTTTAATTACATAATCTTTTATTTATCTTATAATTACTTATCTTTTACTGCATGGTGCTTTGCTCCCTGAGAAGAAAATCCCCTTCAGTTAAGTTTTATCCACATGAATATGTGTATTGTCTAAATATCCAGCAGATTTCCAGAGATGCTAAGTACTTTTAGTAAACCTCTGTATTTGCCGGTACGCAGGCTTTGAGTTGTTCCAGAAAAAAAAAAGTTCAGGTACTGTCTAACAAAGTAAGGCATTTTTGCTCATCAAGAGATAACAAGCTGCTGATGTGGTAGAACTGATATTTTCCATCAACGAGAAGGACGATGAGTAGTTACAGCACTTTGTTATCTTCAAAGTAATTTTACCAAAAATGTCTACACTTGTGGAGATGGATGAACAAATATGTTCTCATTCAGTCAGCTGTTAAAAGCTTGATGCAGCAGCTGCTATGCAATCCCATAGTTTGTCTTATGGGAGAAGTCGAGCTGAACAATATGAAATCCTTTCCTGTCATTTGAGACGCTGTGAATGGGGATAATATTACTGGGGCTTAGGTGTTCATTTCTTACTATTTCTTCTTTCTATAGCTGGGCAAAACACGTTGCAGAGAAGAATGGCTACTTAGGTCATGTCATCAGAAAAGCTCTGAATGCTTATCTGGAACTTTCATGGTATGTTTGTTCTGTTCTCTTCAAATTCATTTTCTATTTTTTATTTATATACCACCACAATAAAAAATTCATGTTAGGCCATCAGCTCAAAAATACAAATTGTAGTACCCTGAAATCGAGCAAAACAGCCATTGACATAAAGGGAAATAAGAATTGATCAAAGGCATAGTTTAATAAGTCTGACAGAATCAAGAGGAAAAGAGTTTATAGAGTGGTATGTAGACCAGTATACCTGACAAGGCCTTACAGCATTCTGAAACTTGGGAGAGTTTCTGAAAGCACGTTCTTGAAAACTTCGTGCTGCATCAACCCAATGGCAAAATGACGAAAGCAAAGTAATGCCTTTGCACTGAGGCCATTCTTGACTTGATAAGAAATAGTCTCCTTTTTTTTTTTTTAATTCTTCACTTTTTTAAAAAAAAAAAAAAAACAAATTCTAGGAGGTAGAAGACTCAGGGCAGCTAGAAGTAGCAATACATTGCGAGGAATACACATACTACTGAGATAGCCCTGTGCTCAAGGTGACCCTGTGTGTGCAGGGGGTCGGACTGGTTGATGTCTAGAGGTTCCAACCTTAAGGATTCTGTGATTCTATGATAAGACATACCTTGTCACACTCAGTATTGCTGACCTTAAAGTCAGCCGTAGTTTCAGGAAATAGACAAGATATTTCTCAAGTGCATTCACTGTACTGCCCAATAATCCAAACTGACATGGACAGCAAAAGTTTTCCCATGTCATGAAAACCCTGGCTGTTAGATTATTTTCTTTTTTTTTTTCCTAAATAGTTAATGTTCTCTGTTCCCTAAATCTTAACAAGGCACAATATTCAGCAAGCAACGAGGATTTAAACTGATGCTCCATGTTTGTCTGGCATCAGAGCGCAGAAACTGCCGTATTTGATGAAGACAGCGGTCCATAAAGTCTCAGCCTGCCCCTGCTAGCAGTCAGTTAATAGTGCAGTTAAAATAACTCACTGTGAGGAGCTCAGAGGATCAGTTTGGTATAATGCATTCCTAGGAGGGATTTCTTTTTAGGTTAGAACTAACATCTCATCTTAGGTATCACGAATTAGTCCTATGCTTCAGATCTCCATTATCCCAGATATTTTTGCAAGATAAATACAAGGAAAAAATGCAATCTTGCAGAGGCAGTTGGGAAGCAGATTAAGTCTGCTTATTCTATAAGGGGCAAATACTTTCATCAATTTTATTTCAAGGTTCTTGGCTTAAATCACCGTTTTTGACATCAAATGTATAGGTGACCATAACTTGTTTCGAGTTAAGCAAACCAACAAACCCCAAAGCCTGGCATGGGATTTAGCTTTATGTTGTGCTTGGAAAGCTTTAAAGCTTGACTGTTAGAAGCTCTGACAGGAAAAACTACACATACCTCAGACTTTGAAAATCAAACACACCGTTTTAAAAAAGAAGTCTGTTTTTTAGTTTTTGATTACTTAATCTTCATAATATTGAGTAGGTCAGGGACAGAGAACATGAAAGAGAAACCACACTCTGGAATCAGAGGCGTTGCTGTACCACTGTACTGCAGCACTGAAATATTATGCAGCAAATGAAAAAATAGCTTTTATTACTTGGATTATTAACATAAATTAGCTTTTATTACTTGCAATAGGGCCTAGAGTCCATAGAGTGCCTGAGACTGTTCTAGGGCTTGTTCACTTGCGTGGGCATTTCTTGTTCCACAGACCTTATAATCTAAACATGCAGGGCAAATCTTAGAAATAAAAGGATAAAACATACCAAAGAACTACTCAGATTCCTAACAGATAGATACAAACACAGATACTAACACAGCAGTATGAATTACAGAGTTTAAGTGGGGGATTTTTTTAAAGTAAGTTGTATCTGAAACATTTACACAGATGATTGGGCTTCAGTCAATCCAGTTTTATCATCAGCCTTGCACACTGAAAGAGCAGACACTCCTGGAGCTGCATTGGCATTAGTACCAGAGAGAAAACTGAAGTTTCTTGAGCTCCCACATGGTTCGTTACACCAAGCGTTGCCAGCAGATGTAGCTGTTGCAAGACTTTGCCAACCTCTTGCTTTTAATTAAAACCATAATTAAAACTTACCCAAATTTTGCTAAGTGATTGTATCCATTTATTTAGTACTATTTAACTATAACTAAAATGTTTGTGCTTTTTTTCTGCTTATTTATTCTGTCTAATACTAGGCATGAAGCTCTGCTGCATTACATTTTAGCAGCTGAAACTGGAATTGAAGTGTCACAGTCAAATTTAGCACACATCTGTGAAGAAAGACCAGTAAGTAAACATGTTCACAACATATCGTCCTGAAGGAAATGGCCTTTAATGATAATGTGATCCTAATATCTTTTCTCTGATGTAAATGGATTAATGTATTTTCCTTCCAGGATCTAGCAAAGAAATACCTCGCGACAGATTGTGTTTGGAGATACTATAACTTCTCCGTTTCTCAAATCAATGCGCCCTCATTTGGTATGTATAAGAATCTCTTTCAGATTTCAGTTCTCTAAAGGAGTGCAGTTCTAATTTTTCAGTCTATATTTGTATGAGTGTTCTGCTTTCGTATGATGGAACAAGTTAAAGGAGGAGTGAAGACCAGACATGGAGTCTAGCATTTTCTGCCTTCTCTATCCTCAAATGGGACCATGTGTTAAAAGCTAATCTGTCCTTTTCTTTTTGCCCATTCTTCTTTCTGCAATAATAAGGCACAGTGACTGAGCTTCTACAAAAATGCTGCAGTATTTTGTGTGTCATCTTTAAGTGAGAAATTCCTGCTTTTCATGGGCTTCCTGTTTAGAGTGTTCTGATTGGAATAACAGAAAAAATATATTAGGGAATGTGTTTCAGAGCAGGTTTTTTGGAGAGTTTCCCTTTTATGGGATAAAATAGATAAAACATTTTTAAAAAGTGGAGGTCTGAGAGAGGGCTAGACATTTAGGAGCCTAAGCAATTTATTGAAAGGTTAAAAGAAAAAGAGTGGTAGACTTTAGGAGTTCGTGCTGCTTAGTTTATCAAAGAGAAAATCCAAAAGCCAATATACTTCCACATGACAATTGAGTCATGAGAAACTAATGAGGGCTAAAGGATTCCTTATCTAATTTATTGAGAGTTTTTTTTTCTGCTAGGGTTCAGAGTTTACTAACATTGACACAGATTACCTGAAGGAATTTAAGGATTCCTTGTCTCTCTGAAACAAAATACATGCCTTTCTAGAATGGAAGGTTTATTCAAATATTAGTTACCTTTTCTCTGGCCCTAAATTTCAATACCTCTGTGACTTCACTGAGCGACTAAGTCATTTTGGTGCTTTTTAAAGAGCTACTCAGTATTTGAAAGCTTCGACCTGATTGTCTCACGAGGAAGTTTAAATGCTTTGCAGTAAGCGTGGGAACAAGTGCAGTGTAAAAATTATTCAAGCTATGTATTGAAATGCACAGCAGCCCTGAAATATAAAAACGCACTGATAGAGCCTAGAGCCATGGGAACTGCTAGCTCTTGTGCAGAGTTCACAGCCTGCTTTGCAAGGTGCAGTTTGGCCAGACTCCTGCAGAGCCACTGGTGCAACGTGGCATGAGAGAAGCGTCCGAGTTGAGGCTCGGTGGGATAAGGCTGTGGTTCCACTGAGGTGAATGACAGAAGACTCCATGGCCTCAGCAGCAGAAGGATTGGATTTCTTTATCTCCCCTTCACATAAGTTGCACGTGGTGAGTTGTGTCTCAGGCACCTGCCTGCAGTAGCGGAGGAGGATCAAGAGCCCTGTGTGGGCTTGGC